CACTAGAACTACCACAGTGATCAAAATGAGCAATTTATAATTTTTCCTTAGATGTAAGAGAAAGTTCTGTCCTTTTTTTTCAATTTAAAATCTTTTTTTTTTTTTTTGCTTACATACAATTTCCTTTATTAGATATCACTGCAGCACTATTTCCTTTTTCATATTTATACAGTGTACCTCATTGCTCGAATATTCTTTTTTGAATCGCACATTGTGATACTAACGAAAACAAAAAATAATTAATTAACCCGAATAATTTCTACTGTTTGATATAATAAGATAAGTACCTTTTAATAACTATCGCCATTTTGCAGCAAAAGAACTTAAAGTCGATAATGCAGGGAACGACAGAACTCTCCCCTACACGCAATGTATCTCTGGAAATTTTATATATTAACAGTATATTTGAACATACTCGAGTGATTTTTAATAAAATATTAACAGAAATTTGTACTCTCAACTTTTCCTTATGCTTTAATCTTTTTACTACGAAATATTACACTTTAGTCTTCCGGTAATTTTTCGTAACGAAGAATCATTCTTATGTTCCTCGAAAATGTATATTTTTTTCTTCCAATTTTTTCTCTCTCTCTGTTCTTCGTCCTTTCCTCTTTTTCACTCGTCCTTTTGTTCCTTTTTCTTTCAGCGATCGGCCAACGCACGAACGGCTACTCCATTAGCCATCTCCATATCTATTTAAAACGAACAACAAATTCATTCGGCATGTATATATATATGTATGTATGTATGTATGTATGTATGTATGTATGTATGTATGTATGTTGCATGCACGTACGTACGTATGTATGTATGTATGTATGTACGTATGTACGTATGTATGTATGTACGTATGTATGTATGTACGTATGTATGTATGTACGTACGTACGTGTGCACACGTGCACGTGCACGCTCATTTACGCCAGAGAACAAGCGGCAACTCTCTCCAACGGCGGAATAAATCGATTAATTTGTCCGTCTTTGTCCACGCGGCGAACGTCCGGCTGCTGTGCCCTCCGCAACGCGCAACGTTCCATCGCTACTAAAATTAACGACAAAGAAATTGGCTGGAATTAGCGTTTAACACGCGAATATTGTTGGACGATTACGATGATACTTGGCATCGGGGCAACTGAATCACTCTGGCGGCCGCCACGCCGTCAACAATTATATCAATTCCAGCACTACGAATAGCCGCGTAATTGTCTGCTTGCATTTTGCCATTTCACCGTGTCGCCTCGCGCCAAGGTAATTATGATTCTCGGCCATCGATACTCCAGTCCCCATCCTTCGTTTATCGAACTAAAAAAAAAAAAGGAAAAAAAAGGAAAAACTAGAGTAACATTTTTTGAAAAATTTTTGGAAAATCGTTGGGATCACAATGTTGGAACATTAGTTGGAGCCCTGTCCACCATTGCGTCGAGTTCTCACTCGAAATTCAATTATCGATAAGCGACAGAGCCTCGGATAGCCACCGCGTTTCTGATTAAATTACCGATAATGGTTGACAACGATAGCGTAATCGGCCGATCGGCGTTTGTCTCACAGTCGGAACAAAGCTCGCGCGTTTGACGTGACGCGATTTTGAAATCACGCTGGAAGTATCGATTTTAATTAAAACTTTCAAAACGCGTCGACAATCTTTTCTTTCGCGACCGACGGTTATTTTCCAACTAACCTGGTCCACTCTTCAGACGGTGGCTGACTGTGTACAGTTCCCTCAGACAGCCAATTTTATAACAATAAAATTCCTCTAAAAAAAAGCTATGCAATGTGTCACTCGTCTTCATGTGTCGACGTTCTAATTTCATCCGTTCTGCTAACTCTTCGTTGTGACTTAACCTCTTGTGCTGGTTCACGGACCATAACGAGTGACCGTATACAATAATTCGTCGCTTTCTTTTTGAACTCGTCGGTACGATATCACTGGATGGAAATTATTATTAAAAATAAATTTATTATTTTAAACTGAGAAAATACTGATTTTTTTTTAATACTGATTTTATTTTAAAACTGAGAAAATACAGCAATTTTGGGACAAAAAATTCTCGACGTACGTTCCAACGCAAAAGATTAAATGCTCAAACAAAACACATGTGGATGCAATAAATAAAGCACGAAGCTCCTAAGAGTCAGCAAAGCTCAAATTTCGAACAATGGTTAACAACGATCCGCTCTCTTTGTTGCTCGTAATCCCAACACGCGTGCCATTTACCGACATATTTCACAATAAGCTGCAGTTCCCCCCTGTGCCGATAGAGAGCTCGATCCAGACTCGATCGGTTCTTTGTTTTACGCGCACGTCTCTTACGTAATCCTTGAGCATCGCGTTTGCTTCTGCTCTCTTTGTGTATCCTGGCTAAGCTCCTCTCTTTCGTCTTTCGTCTCGTTGAAATGAAAAAGATCGCCCAAAGCGGTTTCTCTTGTATTGCGTCTTGTGTCTCACAGAAGCGAAATAACACGAACTGGAATGTTTTTGCGAAATTCTCTCCCAATCGTAAAAATCGTTACTTCGATCCGAACGAAGTTGCGTTTTTTTTTTTCACGTCATCGACGACAGAATCCGAAAGTCACTAGTCAGCTAGTAAAAGTTACTATGCAATTACTAGTCAGTTACGAATTAAAATAATAGGCAATTTTCCCACGGTTTATACTTTCTTGTCGATCTGAATTGAAGAAAAGATACTTTCTCGAATGTTTCGATGAATCGAGCGAGATGTAATCGATTCGTTTCAACCTTGTGCAACGCATTGTACGGCTGGAATATCGATGCGTTTCAATTAAAGAGAATTATTTATGAGACGAAAAATTTCAGCCGGCGAGGTTTAAGCACCCTCGAAATTAACTTTCATTACTCGATATAAATCCAAGTACGGTGATTTTATTTGAAGCAGATTGCACCGTGCTCGACAGACTTTTCTCGATGAAATGACAGGATCCATTGTGACTGTTAGAATCCATTTCAACTTGTGTGAGTTTGTGTGTCTTTTCTGAGAACGTTGCAAAATTATCTGAAAATCGCGTTGAATAATCGTGTTTTGGGATTCGTGTAGATCTTAGTTTCTTGGATGGAACGTCACTTGTGTTAAAAACTTTATCGGTGAGGACGACAGAGTTCATTGTTTGAGATCTACGAAAACTCTTCGAGTAATCCGCTAACAAGTTTCTCATCAGTTTTCTCGAAAGGAGAGAGAAAGAGAGAGAGACATTTGCTCCCACGTGTTTCTCCTTCGATTGTTTCTAATACCTGTCGAACGGCTGTGGGATCGTGCATCGTTTCTCGATGTTTCTTTTTTAATTACTTCCCGATGTTTCCGTGCGCTCGTGTCAATTCCTGGTAGAGATTTTTAATTACTTTTGACTTTCTCCCTCTCTCGAGCTCCTCGCCATCGGCGATTTTTGCCCTGTCCGCCTTCGCGTTATACAGGGTGTCTCGATTCTACGTCAAAAAAATGAAAAAATAAGATCTTCGAAAAGAAAGAATAAAATTTTCTTCTTTAAAATCTTCGTTTTCGAGTTTGAGACAATTGATCAGGTATACTTTTTTTCCAGTTTTTGACTAGTTTATGCGCGAAACTCATTGCCAGTGAAAGATGTGGAATGAAATTTTTTTGTTCACGGAATATAAACCTCGGACGTGTTTCGTTAAAAAATAAAAAGATATCTTACAAAAAATACTGTATCCTACATTCTCCGCTTATTTTCACACGTAGAAATCCTGGTGATTGTTTTTTTCCTCACGTCTGAAATTAGCTAAATATTGATAAATTTTTTTCTTCCTTTTTACACTAATTTTTTTTTTTCCCCAGTCACCTTACACTCAGTTGGACCATCCGGATGTTTTGAGACACCCTGTACAAATGCACGAGCGAAACTGAACTGCTTCTCTTTACAGCTGATTTTTTTTCAAATGTCGCTGTTTTTCTCACGAAACGTTGCGAGTAAATTGTTTCCTTTTCAACGGATGACGGAGGTAAGATCGGTGGGTAGACTTGACAGTTCGTTTCGCAGAGAGGCAAAGAAACGAATGCACAATTTCGTTTCCCCCAGAACCGGTGACAATGGATTTTACACGAAACGAAAATTACATGGTGTATTGGCAATCCCACGTTCCCACGAACGAATCAATTATCCCGAGAGCGCGAATTTTCGTCGGAAATTCCGGCTGCGAAGATTTTTATGAAACCACGTTGCGCCATGTCGTGAAAAAATACACACACACACATACACATGAAAAAAACCTTTGGGAAATCGTACAACCGCACTTATATGTGCCACTGTGTACTCACCATACTTATCAAGGTTCCAAAGGGAGAGATCCAAACAACGTAGCGGTCGATGATATTGGCTAACTAATTTGAAACGTGTACGGGTAACGAAGGCGATAATTAAATCCACGTCGAGTTGCCAACTTTCGAAGTGCTTCGAGCCACGACGAGATAATCGAGTGGAATCGGTTTGGTAAACGGCTCGTTGAGTCAAATTCAAATATCGTGTGTCCGAACATCCCACCACTCGAAAATCAACGCCGCAACTTCGTTTTCAATCCGCTGCTTTTTTTCTTCTTTTTTTTTCTCTTTTTTCTTTTTTCTCGAGAAATGAAATCGACAAGCGGTACGATTGTTTAATCTCTCTCGCGATCGACTTGAGAAAGCGAGGACGAATAACATTTTACTTTGAAGAAAAATTCATTCCTACTTCCCTCACTTGCAATTACCGAGTTGAAGCAAGATTAATCTCCAGACGACGATGAAAATCAGCGGAAAGGATCTCCTCCTGGATTTTATCTCCTTGGCCTCGATTGGTGGGCCTCTCGTCCCGGGAACATGGAAGGAAATCAGCAGGCGATTCACTCCAGTTAAAACACCACGGCAATTATCCTCCGGTCTAATTAATTTTAATTGGCATAAACATTAAATGTCGGGAGAGACGGATGGAAACGAGCTAGATAACGACAGAGGACTAATGACGATCTACGCCCGTCTCGCTTGATAACTCGTTCGATTAATTATCGCACGTGTAAATTCTACGTCCACGTGTAATTACCAGAACGAGATTTAGGTTAGGTTTTCGATCTACCCGCTGACCGAATCGAATTCACGTTTCTTTTTTCAGGTAGTTGTACCAAAGAGAGCGGCTCTTTTGTTCGATCAATTGATGGTCGCGTTGCAGAAGGTGGTGGACAATCAGGGCAGGGGAGAGCTCGGCGGTGGCAGCAGAACGTTCACGAGATCGTCGGGATCTCACTTACCGGCCGGGAATTCCCAAGTCATTCCATCGGCTGACGAGCAAACGGTAAGGAACGAAACTATAATTGTGATTCATAATTCGAAGCTCATTCGAGTTCCACTCGGTTTTCCCGATGTTTTCTGCGCAGATGGATCTTCAACGGCGCGGACAGGCGAAAGGCCGGGTTTACTGGCGCTGTTACTTCAACGCCGTGACATGCTTCAAGAGAAAGTGATAACGAGCCGAACCAGTAACCAGTCTGCACCGCGATATTGAAACCCGACTCGACCATAAGATTCCTCGCATGCTTATTCCCGGTCAAAAGAGAAACGAATAAATCAAAAAATTCAGGACGAGATTAGACCCTAAATAAGTCCAAAGATGATCCTGTGTCTTCTCCCATGAGTCGGTTATTGTTACTTCCCTGTTACTTCTATCGAACTATCGAATCTGTCCATCTGTCTCCTTAACGCTGTTTTCTTTCTCCTTTCGTCTATTAAACGCTGTACCAAATGTATATCTTTCTGGTTTATAAAGCACATACAAGTATCGATTAAACGTATTTACTTAAAACGCATCAAATTTATGCGAACGGTGTTCACTTGATTGCATTTCATTTGAATCCCCCGATTAATTCACCTGCAAGGTAAGTTCATTTCAGTAGGCAAGGTAATTAACTGGGTTGCGAGTCTCATTTTCACGGGCTGTTTATTCGCGTCGTTTATTAAGAAACGCGCGTTACAAGAGCAAAGTATGCGAGCATACTTGTTGTTATCGCTCTGTAGAATCAGTCCGCGATTTCATAGCTACGGATAACCTTTCCAAACATAGAACTAATTCGCAATGTTTGGTGTGCGGAAACATATCTACAGCGACCGCTTTTATCGGCACCATAGGCTCGCCGATGTACTGCTTCGAGGCGGGCCTGGATAGATCTACTAAATTTTTTGCAGCTGCCCGAGGATCACAAGATACATATATCAACCTCGACAATTTTTTTGCCCTGCGCATGGTTAACAACGCTCTCTGATCTGCAAGAAATACACATTCATGCTTATACGTATACGCTAGTTAAAGTTGAAAAAGATTGTGTGAACGATGTGTCTTACGAAGTCCGGCTCGAGGTGGATCCACGACAGCAATAATATCGGGTTTGGTAGTTCTCCGAATTACAGGAGACAAAACATCCTCGGCTTTGCCGACAAAAAATTCACAGTTTGATATTTTGTTCGCGACGACATTTTCTTTGGCATCTTTGATAGCGTCCTCTATCATTTCCAACCCAAACACCTCGCCGCAATACTGAAATCGTATACGCGTCTGTTTCTTATCCGTACGATGCTTAATTTGTTATTAATTTAACGGGATCGTTCGTACCTTTGAAAATGCGAGGCCGATCGTTCCGGTACCGCAACAAATATCGAGGAGCGCGGTGTCTGTGGTCGGTTTTGCCAAGTCGATCGCTGCTTTGTACAACACCTGAGCACCTGATGTGTTCACTTGAAAGAACGCTTGAGGAGATATGCGAAACTTCATGCCAAACAACGTTTCCTCTATGTATTTCGTTCCGCTAATGTGATAAAAATTGTTTTCATTTTTTTCGTTGACGCTTCTAAAGTAAAAAATCAAATTAATCGAACGAACGACGTTCTTATTTATCTGTTAAGTTTGCCAACAGTTTCTCTGCCAACATTGCTTACTTTAGTTTCATTATCTGAAGGTACAACGATGTCACCCTTGCTTGTGCACCATTCCCAGTTTCAAAAAATGCTTTCAATTGTGACTTTAATTCCTCTAATTTCTCCGGGCTCAAAGTTTGAGGGTGTATTCCCACTATCACCATCAGATCATCGCGGAGAGTGGTTCTGACGGTGACTTGTCTCCAGTATCCACTATGATCAACTGGATGAAAAGGTTTTAATTCAGTGTTTTTCATGAATTCTTCGAGCACCTAAAATACTCACAATACAAAAAACAAATCTCAAACATTGAGTTGATGGAAATCTTCTGAACAACTTACTTTAACCACGACTTTCATTTTATTAGGAATGTGACAAAGATTGTCAATGGGCCCCACCGCTGTGGAACCAGCTGCATAACTGGTTAACCTGAATCCTATTACAACTGCATTCTCTTTCTCTCCTTTACCTAGATAATTGAATTCATGTTACACATGATATATTTATCTTATTCTATTAACGAGATAAATAAATTCCATGTGGAATTACCAACTGTAAATTCGCATTTATTTCTGTATTCTGTGATTGTGTCTGTACTCAAAATAGGAAGCAATTCACAAGGTAGTCCTTGATATTTAGTCTTTTGGTGATTTAACCACTCTAACAGTTCACCTTTGCTTTCTTTCAACATTTGGTTACAAATGGTTGATAAAATCGAATGCATTTCTTTTTGCTTCAGTTCCAACTAGAAATGTCAATTATTACTTAACACTTATCATGTATATTTTTACATTGAATTATCAACATTTGCCTTACTTGATTTGGATAAGGCATATTCCAAAGAGGAATTGTAGTTAATTTAACTTTCTCTTCTATGGATATATTTTGATCATCTTCGTGTAATTTCAAGCGTTTCTTTGTAGTCTCTTCTTCCAGTCTCCTTTTTACAAATGGGTCTGGTGCAGGTTTCGCAATCTGTTTTTAATAAGTTTGAAGGCAATAGATATACGTAGTGAATATGTGCCAAGATACGACAAAAATTTCAATGATGTAATTCACATTCAGCTTGACAAAAACAACAATGTATAAAAAATATATTGTAGTCAAACTAAAAGAAAATAAGAATACGTAACACCAAATTAAATACCTGTGCACTGAGCTTACAATTTTTCCATAAAATCCCATTTAATGTCTCTATAGCTTTCCGGCGACTTTCCTCGTTTCTAAAAGACACATAAAGCCACCCGCTACTCCGTTTCGGAGGTTTTATCTTACACGACTGTAGGTCTAGCTTTTCATTTAAAAGCTTTTTAAATTCACCTATTCCGTAATACTTTGGTAAACCATGTACCTCAATTTTATACTTCTCCGATGTAAAGTCGTTCCTTTCGAGATACGCATAAGGATTCTTTTCTATTTCTGTCGATTCGTTTGAAGCCATGTTTTTCTTAATTTTTCGTTCAATTGTATATTTTCAACCAGTGATCATATCAATTTTTATCAATAAACGTAAATATTCAACCTTTCTTTTCCTTCACACATGCTCTGTCTGCAATGTAACTTGTTTCAGGTTATGTTTGGTCAACATAAACTATACGTTTCTATTTCGTACTCCAAAATGATAGTAATCAATAAATCTGAATTTCATTTCGTTTTGTACAAGGAAATTAATATCGTGAAAAAGATGAATGAAAGTATATGAAAAATTGATATATAATCGGTAGAACTAGAATTTTATACGTTTAAAAAGAACATGCTCCGAAAACGTTCGTAAAAAATCCCTTAGCTTTCTATAAGCATATTGCTTTTAAAATTGGAAACTCTCGATTATTTTTTACACTGTTATCTTTAAAAGATTATTTTTCTATATCAAAATGAATCAGCAAGCTAAAAGTTGTTATTTAAAAAGCAATGACAAGGCACTAAAGACAGTGTATTTACCACATAAAAAGTCAATTATTTTGGGTCGTTCTCCAGAGACAAATATCACAGATACACTGTGCTCTAGACAGCAAGGTTTGCTGTCAATTATTTTAATTCATGTCTCATCATACCTTATTACTAATTTAATGTAATTGTGTGTCATTTTTTGTAGTGCAACTGTATGCAGATTATGAAGAGTATAAAGTCTTCATTCAACAAATCGGACTTAGATCCTGTGGCTTTAATGGCTTTAAAACAAATAAAGATGTCAAATTTATAGCCAGTCATGATGACTGTTTAGAAATGTTATATGGCAAGCATGTTTATCAAATTGAATTTAATCCTCCACCGGTGAAAACCTTTCTTTCCAAGAAACGGAGTAGAGGCTCAGGGATGTCCAATGAGAATGAAGAAAATTCTCATAAAATAGTTAAAACAGAAGATGACAATAAAGATGAAAAGACTCAAGAAGAGGAACCACAAACAGAAGTGAAACATAAAAAAAATGATCAGGGTATTTTAAAGTATATCAAAAAAAATAAAACAACGTCAAATGAATTCAAAGAGGAAGATAATATGATAGATTTGAACAATGAACAGAATATGTGGGAAAGTAAAGAAAGCGGTGCATTGTTAATATGCACAACACAGGGAGTGGAAAGTCGTTCAAAGGTAAATTGATGAGATACTAATATTTTTAAAAATGGACTAAGCTTTCTCGTTTTTAGATAGCAGCATATGATATGGATGGAACTTTAATAAAAACGAAATCTGGCTTAGTATTCCCAAAGGATTCTGACGATTGGCAACTTATATATCCTGATGTGCCAAAAAAGTTGCGCAAATTCCACAATGATGGTTATAAAATAGTAATTTTCACTAATCAAAAATCCATTGGATCTGGAAAAGTAAATCCAAAATCTTTCAAGAACAAAGCTAGAAATATAGTACAAAAGATTGGTGTTCCAATGCAGGTGTGCTTCTCTTTCTATCAGCTTGTATTAAATGAGATGATCTTATATATTTATTTGTAGATATTTATAGCTATTGGATTTATAGCAAATTTATTTGTAGATATTTATAGCTACTGGATCTGACATTTATAGAAAACCAGCAATTGGGATGTGGCAACAATTGGAAAAGGTAGGAATTATCTTTCATTTTCACTCACAAAAATTTCAGGCTTAATTTCTTTGCAGAAGAATGACTCTATATCTATTGATAAAGATAGTTCCTTTTACGTTGGGGATGCGGCTGGACGACCAAAAAATTGGGCTCCCGGTAGAAAGAAGGATCATTCATCAGTTGATCGATTACTAGCATTTAATTTAGGTTTAAAATTCTATACTCCAGAAGAACATTTTCTCGGACACAAACAGGCTCAATTTAAATTGCCCACGTTCAATTCAAAAAATTTATCAAATGGCGAGATATGCTCAGGAAGCAATATAACTTCAAGCAATCAAGAAGTAATTAAATATATTTTATCTAAAACGTTTGCTTAAAATATACATATAATAACAGCAAGTAATTCTTAATCTACATATTTAGATCATTCTAATGGTTGGTTGTCCTGGTTCTGGAAAATCACACTTTGCAAGAAATTATTTAAACCATTATGAATGCGTTAATAGAGATACTCTGGGAAGCTGGCAAAAATGTATTACAGCGATGGAAAAACATTTAAATGAGAAAAGTTGCGTAGTTGTAGATAATACTAATCCTGATTGCACGTCAAGACAGAGATACATTGAAGTAGCAAAAAAATACAACATACCCGTAAGATGTTTCGTTATGTCGACAAGTATTGATCATGCAAAACATAATAATAAGGTAATAATTGCCTCAATTTTTGCAACACAATTGTAATTTACAATATAAATGTTACACTGAATGTTTCATTTTAGTTTCGAGAATTAACTGATCCTAGTCACGTTAAAGTTAATGATCTGGTTATTAATTCTTACGTGTAAGTAAAATAACTAAAACTAAACTAAATTTATACAAAGTCTATTGTATTCAAATATTTTTAGGAAAAATTATCAAGCACCAAGCTTAGATGAAGGTTTCACAGAAATTGTTAATATAAACTTTGTCCCGAAGTTTCAAAAAGAAGAAGATCGTCACCTTTACGAAATGTATTTGCTTGAAAAATGAAATTTCTTTAACAAAGCATTATATAAATCTTTCTCAATTAATGTATGCTTTGTAATTGGAAAAATCAAGGATTTTAGTCAGATAAATTTTGTATAAAAAAAGTCATTATATAAAATTGTTATTATACGATATTATTATTATATAAAAAAGATATTGTAAATTGTAAAATTCATTATTTCATGCGTATTTATCGAATTTTTTGTTGATTTAAAGAGTATTAAATTATTTATTATTTTCATTGTTCATGGATTTTAATAAAGTAACTTTGATACCCCGATTTTCCTGTCTATCTATTAGTAATTCATTATTCTCTTCGCATTTGTGTACATATTCTTACATCTGTTTAAAATCGTGGAAACATAACCTCTATAAGACGCATGGGTTTTCTTGAAATGTGTGTAAACATTCAATGTTCAGAAGCAATTATAAATACATATATATAAAATGTCACGATTGATAGTAAAAAATTTACCAAAAAATGTAAATAATAAATTTCGACAATGTGATCATGATATTAGAATAAGTTAAAAATGTTAATTTATAATGATGATTTGTAGATTACAGATACGAAAGTAAAGGAACTTTTTAGTCATAAAGGTTTAATAACCGACGTACAGTTAAAATATACCAAAGATGGCAAATTTAGACGATTTGCTTTCATTGGATTTAAAACGGAAGAACAAGCTGTAGCTGCCAAAGAATATTTTGACAAAACATGTATTGATACTTGCAAAATATCAATTGAACAATGTGCAAGTCTAGGTATTTGTAAATTATTGATATGCAATTCATAACAGTTACAACAATAATAACAATAATGGTAATAATTATGATAATAATATTTATTTATAGGGGATTCTTCTAAACCCAGAGCATGGAGTAAATATGCAGTTGATAGTTCAACGAACAAGGCTAATAAAGATTCTACTAATAATGAGGGAACAGAAAATGTTGCTTTGAATAAGCCAACAACAGATGGGAAAAAGGAAAAAAACAAGAAAGATAAAAAGGAAGAAGGTCCAAGACATGAAGTCAAAGAGGCATTGGAGAAGGTACAACTAAATAATATGTACTTTGCTGTAATATATTTGAAATTTTTAAAACTTAATTATCAGAATAATTATTGTATTTAGCATAAAAATGATCCTTTGTTTATGGAATTCCTCGAAAGTCATACAACAGACAAAGCTATATGGAACAATGATACATTGATAACTAGTCAAATTGAAGCACATAACGATAGTGAGACAGATGATGATGAATTTAGCGTCCAGGATGACGATGAAGACGAGACAAAGAACAATGAAGAGGAAAAGGAGAAGAAGGAAAAGATTGCGAATAAAGTTATATCTGATTTAGAGGTAATTCTAAATGCTGATACTCTGTTATTTTTTTTACATATCTGTATTAATGATTACTCTGTCTTAAACAGTACATGGAATCTCTAAAAAGGAAAGCAACGAATGTAGAAAAAGAAGTTTCAAGTGCCAAAGATACTTCTAAACACGGTTCTATAAAACTTTTTACCGTAAAACTTCAAGGACTGGCGTATAATCACAAGAAAAAAGATATCAAACAATTTTTTCGTCCACTGAAGGCGAAATCAATACGAGTGCCGGCAAAAATTAAGGGTATTGCGTATGTTGGTTTCAAAACTGAACAGCACATGAGGAAGGCATTGTCAAAAAACAAAAGTTTTTTAGGTATCAACGTTAATTGCAATTACTAATTTTTTATTTTCCGTAATTTTCTACTTGTATTTTGTATTTCTTTTTTTTTAATCTTTGTTTAGATGGGAAACAAATATTCGTAACAAAATATGAAACAAAAGAACGAAAGTTTGACGAAGCAGAGAACGAAAACAATAATGTTCGATGGAGGAAACAAGCAGAAGCATTGAAATCCGAAGAAAGCGTCGCGGAATCGGGAAGAATATTTATCCGAAATCTATCGTATACGATAACCGAGGATGATGTTCGAACATTATTCGAAAAATATGGTAACCTTCCATTTTCACGTAACCCAACAATCATGATACTGATATCATAATCTTTCATTTAGGTTCTTTAACTGAAGTCGACCTGCCTATCGATCGGACGACCAGAAAGCCGAAAGGTTTCGGTACAATAACGTTCTTATTGGCCGAGCACGCGGTTAAAGCGTACAGTGAATTGGACGGTTCGATTTTAGACGGAAGAATGTTACATCTTCTTCCAGCTAAAACGAAGTCTAATCCTATGGAAGAACTTGACGAAAGTAGGAATAAATCCTCTACAATTCTCTTCTCTGATTCGTCCCGATAATTGTGTAACGCGTACGACTTTTACATTACAGAAGACTTGACTTATAAGAAGAAGAAAGAACTGAAGACCAAAATGGCCGCTGGATCGTCGCACAACTGGAATACTCTTTTCCTCGGTCAAAATGCCGTAGCAGACACTATAGCTGCTGTTTACAACACAACAAAAGAGAAAGTGCTTGAAGATGGATCAAAAGATTTGAGTGCCGCTGTCAAGTTGGCACTGGGAGAAACACAATTAGTTCAAGATACGAAAAAATTCTTGAAGGAAAACGAAGTCTGTTTAGATGCGTTCAATCAGGTGAATATTACGTCGAATGTAAGCTGCCGTAGAAAATGATAATCGAATTATAATTTCATCAATGTGTTCGTATCAGCCGTCGAACAAACGATCGAAAACAGTGATATTAGTGAAGAATTTACCGGCTGCAACGCCGGCGCAGGAAATTCGACAATTATTTGCGCGACATGGTGAATTGGGAAGGCTCGTAATGCCACCTTCAGGGATTACTGGTATGATTTTTATCTGCGTTAAATATACGTACCGTTATAATTACTATGTATTGTATCGTGTAATTTATTACGTTTAGCTTTGGTGGAATTCTTGGAGCCTTCCGAGGCACGCAAAGCATTTGCGAAATTAGCATATACCAAGTATAAACATCTACCACTTTATCTTGAATGGGCACCTGACAATACTTTTACGACTGCTTCCCCTCTGGCGGGAAAAAACAAAGCCACTGAGGCAAGCGAGAAAAAGGAAATGAAGGAACAAGTTGATAAACAGGCGGAGGAATTTTCGGAAAGCGAAATAAACGGTACGAATAAAACTAACAAAGAAATGAGCGAGAACGAGGACGAGGACGAACCTGAACCAGACACCACTCTTTTCGTAAAAAATATTAATTTCGCAACTACGGAAGAACAATTGAAAACGGTGAGTAATTTAACGTTCACATTCAACGTTTCCTCTGTTACACTTGACTTGTTGCTTTTCAGTATTTCGGCAAATGCGGTGCTGTTCATTACGCCACGATAGCGACGAAGAAGGATCCGAAAAACCCTGGCGCCAAACTGTCGATGGGTTATGGATTCGTAAGATACAAGAGAAAGGTGGACGCGGATCGGGCGTTGAAAGTCTTGCAAATGACAGTGTTCGATGGAAAGACTTTGGAACTGAAACGTTCCGAACGAATGCTAACGTACGGCTGTAATCTTGCTAGAAACTTTGTTTCAACGTTCGCGATTTTCTTAATGATTCTCATTTATTTTTAAATGTTTGCAGAACCGATGTGAACAATGTGAAAAAGAAGTCGTCGATAACGGCTCAGACGAGCACGAAAATTTTGATAAGAAACATACCGTTTCAGGCGACGATCAAGGAGATAACTGATCTATTCAAGTACGTGTTTTACCTTACTATATTTATTATTTTGCATTTCATTATTAATTCTGAATCTGGCGAGAATTTCTTTTATGTCTTCTTTGTTGAAATGTCAGAGCGTTTGGCGAGCTGAAAGCAGTGCGGTTACCAAAAAAGTTAGTTGGCGTCGAGAAACACAGGGGATTTGCCTTCGTGGAATATTACACAAAAAGCGAAGCCAAGGTGCTCATTAATAAAATTAATTACTATTAAACTAAATCGATCCGTGTTTCACTCTTCTTGTTCTGTTCGCAGAAAGCGTTTGAAGCTTTGTGTCAGAGCACTCATTTGTATGGGCGAAGGCTGGTCTTGGAATGGGCTCAAACAGAGGAGGGCGTGGAAGAAGTTAGGAAGCGAACCGCTAAACACTTTCATCAAGGTACGTACGACGCATATTTATTGCGCACTTGTCAACAAAAAATCATTCTTCGTTCACAGATGAGTGGATTAAGAAGAGTAGGAAAGCAACGCTAAATCCAGAAGACGTTGGCTTGGAAGAGGTCGCTTAATTTCCAACGTTGTCTCTATTTTTGTACATAGTGTTTGTTAAAGGGACAATGAAATAAATTCGCGCAGCGCACGTGATTCGCCGAATGCAAATTTCCTTTCGACTTAGCTGGCAACGATTCAAATCGATCGAGAGTTGAAAAGTCCTCTTCCAAGGCTCGTAAAAGCGCTGCGTTAACCTTCCTGTCACGTCGGAACTTTTTCTCGAAAATACATACTTGGGATTTCTACCAGTGTCATTGAGAGTGGCGCATCACGCTACGCGTACTGATACTGATGTATTTGGGTTCCGACGCTATTGGATTGATTTCACGTGCCAATGAATATCAACCTAGTTGACATTAATTCTCGACCCACGTTCAAACTGGATTTAATTGCAGCCTCGGGGATGATTTGCAAGTATAATTCTAGATCGAAGCACGCCTAGAATTCGATGGTTGATTGGGGAACCATTTCACTGAGGCTGAAATTTACAATTTATATCTGAGAGAATCTGAAAAAAACCGAGGCGTCCAAAAAAATTTACATAATTTAGAAATTCCTGCAAGTTTCGCCTTATCGGCGAAAACGAATTGAACAAAAGAGAAAACGAACAAGGATGCATAAGTGCGGTCTCAGTATACAGCTTTAGTATTAAAAGAAGCAAACACGCTAGAGGATTCGGTAGGTAAGGTGGAAGGGAAGAAATGTTTTCCTTTCACCTCTCTGCTGGGTGGTGGAGGAGTGGCAGGAATGATTCGAGTGGAGGTGGAGACGACCCATGAAAGTAACAGTGCCTTCTCCACCAGTTTGCTCGACACTCGCACTCAGTCTCACTCTCCTTGCCACTGGAGAACGGCGAAGCGCGCGATTCTCTCAGTGTCCTTCGTGGTGTGTCGTCGCCCAGGTACAAGGTCGCGAGTGCACCGGAAACGCGCGAGAAGTCGTGAGTCTATGCGAGTCCAGTGCGCGATGTGCTCGACTTGACGAACTTTCGACGAACACGAATCTCGACAGAAAGGGGTTAGACAATAAAACGACGAAAAATGGATTGGGTAAGATCCACGTTGATTTGTTCTTATACAGACTAGTATAGTCCCATATCTTTGTATGTAATGCAAGAATTGATGCAGAGGTTGAAGAAAATGTTAATCAATAATAATATTAAAAGTAAAAATTAATTAAGAATAATGATAATATTGAAAGTGAAAATTAATTAAAGGAGAAATTTGGCTAAAAGATTCTATGAGAGGGTACGATGGAGAGAAAGAAATGATTGTACCCCATTTAGTACCCCATTTAGTACCCCATTTAGTACCCCATTGATTTAGACTACCGATTCGCCGGCAGATTAGGCACATTTAGATAAACAGAACGCGGCAAAAGCGAATCGGAGATTTCGCTTTCTTCTAATTGTAAGTCGTCGATCAATGTCACTTTCTCTATATTTTATTCGGTAAATTCATCATCGTTGTGCTGAACGTTGGTTTTCACCAACGATGCCCGAGGAAGGGAACAAGTCGACGAAAAAAGAAAAGAAGAAAGCAAGGTAAAATTCCCTGTAGGAATTCGACGATCGTCGAAGGAAATGACGCGCGTTTTCAAAGTTGGGGCTCGGCCGACCGGATTGTTCGAGGGCGAGATCTACATGCATATTGAATACTCGGCTTAACGATCATTGGCTTCCTGCCGGCGTTGAGGAGGGAGAGGATATCTACCGGTTATTCGAGCCGCCTTCAACTGCACGCACTTGGTTTTAAGCCGCTGCGACAAGCGAAGAAGGAGCGAACGCGTGTAGTGTAGCAATTCGAGATTGCAAAACTATCGAGGTCGTGGCAGTTTTCTTTGCTAACCAACTTCCTACCAATTCAATCTTTCTTTCTTTTTCCATACAAATACATCAGTAAATGTAACTAAAAACGATATTATGTGGTAAATATATGTTCAGGAAATTTCTTTCACTGAAATATATAGTTTCAAAATACGCATGTAGTAGGAAGAAACTATTAGTTGCTTTAAGGTTAGGTTTAGTAAATTGATCTCGAATCCTCGAGTTTGAGATAAAATATTCTTTCATTAAGTTGAGATTAGTTTAACTGTTTATTAATTTAGTGTGGAAAAGCAAGATTTTTATTTATTTTGAAAGAAATGCAATAATTTACAATATTTTTACTTTGTAAAAGAAGAGAAAAATTCATTTACTTAATTGACTCTTGGCTGTGATTGGATATGAATCTCGCGATATAGTATAGATGTTTCTGAGACGCATTTGAGAACGTTCGCGTCGTTTATGTAACTCGAAATTTAGGGGACGCCATTTTATTTCGAGAACGATTAGCCAAACCGCCATGATTGGGATCGATCATAGTTGGAAACAATTGCGCAACGCGATTGTAATGACGCAATCGGGTGAAAAAAATTCAAAAACTTTCCCGTTGAATTAAACATTATTACTTTCGCGTCGTAAAAAGATAGATCGTAGAACTTTGAGAGACTTTGCTAATTCGAACCATCTAGAAGAGAAGAAAAGTTCTAGAAAAAAAGGAACCTTCGTTTTGCTTACAAATAGGAAATGAAAAAAGGTTAAAAGGGAAGAGAAAAAAGTGTTTGAAGAGTGCAAGGAAGGTCGCCTGTTGACCTTTCGATATCGTGTCCTGTCTCTTTGCTGCAGAACGTGATCTTTTCGCCTAAAGGGAAAATTAAAGAAAGCATACTTGTATTTTGAATATTCCCGCACTTTCGAAGGATTCGCGTTCAGACGAATGCGGCTGCAGATTTTTATGGAAATTAAAAGAAATATCTGGATGAAAAATTCGAATATTATAAAAAACCTTATACTTCGGATATTTTATATAACATATAAAAATGAATGAAATAATCGAATATTTTATATAATATATAAAATAAAATAAAAATAATAAAATAATAATATATAAAAAAATAAAAATAATAAAATAATATAAAATAAAATAAATTATATATTTTCAGTTTAATATTTTACATAAATATTTTATATATTTTCCTTGCGATAAATTCCAAACGATTTTGTATCTCGAAGTTCCACGCATGAAAATCCGCAGTCTATCTTCGCCTACTTTACGATCTAGCCTCGATTTTGCATTCCTCGATCTCTCCTGCTGACAACGTTGACCGGATTTTACTGATTCGATGGAATATGACTTTCGACGTTTTCACGGTTGGTTTTCTGGTGGTGGGACGAAGCAATCGGCAAAAAAAAGATAATCGCGGCCAGTGCGAATGCGGAAGTGGAAAATCACGAAAGGAAACGGGAGGATCGACGACGACCGGTGAAAAGCAAAGGAACAACGGCCATCTCATTTTGGTTCTTTATTACGTACTGAGGGGATTACGAATCGTCGGGATTCCCTCTGGCAAATTAAGGACAGAAGGCAAAGAAGATTTAATTAAGAGAGCGATCGTAGCCATTAAATTTCCTGGTAAACAGAGCGAGAGTCCGGTGCCTCGGAGCGAATTCCATGGAAAGTAAAAGTGACCGAGCCACGCTGGATTTATCCGCCAGAGAGACGGATAGATCTCCACTCGAACTCGGCCATTTGCTTTCGATCACGCGTTTCACGCATACAGGAATGTATTCGAAAAAAAAAAAAAAAAAAAAAAAAAAGAACAATCGAAACAGTCTTCGCTTACAACGAAATCGATTTTTGAAAAGAAAGAAGATTTGATAATTCGTTTGCGATCGATCTCGATCTTGAAATCGACAACTTCAGCAACAATTTGCACGACTTGCAGTTTACTCATTTTACTCGCGATCGGATCGATCGGTCGAATAGAAATATTCTCATACGATAATTAAGCAGATTCAGGATAATCCGAAGTCGTTTAAACGTTCCTCGTTACGACGTTACGAATCGTCCGGTTCACCTTTGCAACTGGTTTGCAACAGCTACCCCGTAGCCAGGTCCTCCGGATTCTCAAGGCTACGTTAAAATTATACCATCTCTCATTTTGTTCTTTCGTTGCCGCGTGCCTCGAATATCCAAAGATCCTCGCGAAACGTGTTTTCGTGCCTCCTTCGAGGTGAACTCGTGCTTGTTTTTCGAAACCAAAAACGCGGAATTCTCCATCTGTGAAAAAAAAAATTATATATATATATATATATTTCATTTATTTGTAATATAATATATATATA